TTGGACTTTCTAACAGTGAAGCTACTCGCAATTATTTTCAGTTTTGATTTAGCATTGCATGCACCATCAAATGTTACTGTAATCATATTAGTTACAACCTGCAGATTGTTGCCGGAGATGGTTGCTACTCTATTATCGGATTCACTGAACAGAGAAAGGGTGTTATCACTCAATGATGCATCACATGTTCTTCGTAATGCATTTTATCAAACTGAGGCATGCATGAATCACTCCTATGAGGTTTCCTCCCCCTTTCTTTTCATAGTTTATTGCCTTCTGTTTCATTGTACTGTTTATATTTTGTTTTCTTCTGTTGCATATAAATTATCAATTTGTATCTGATTTTACTTATTGGTTGTGTCTCGCACTTTTCATGATAAAGCGTGGTACTCCTGACTAGAACCACCCCTCTGAATAGTAGAAAGAGAAGGATTTTTTCCGACGATAGTTGTCACTTATCTCTTACTTGGGTACCTGTTTCTGCTAGCCTCATAGTGTTATTTATTATTTATATCTTACAGGGTTGTACAGCAACTTTGCTTCTCATTTGGGCTGATGGTGAAGGAAGTTTTTATGCTCAGTGTGCAAATGTTGGAGACTCAGCTTGTCTCATAGAGTATGTCCTCACTCTCCTATAGTGGTTCTGGGGCATATTAGATCTTGTAGTTCATTTCATAAGGTCCTTTGCTTCCATTTTTATGCAACTTTGCATGGACATAGTCTTGGCCTTGTCCTCTAATGGAAGAGGGATGGCACACCGGCCTCTCATCTTGTGAAGCACACTGAATAACAATTATTTGGCAATTTGCCTATCACGAGTTTCCCTTCCATTTTCTTGCCATGTAATTTAAAGCTTCTTATGTTGTGATCAAGAGTTTAGCCTGTGATGGTGGAAGCTATCTGGGATCTTTGAGCATTGTTGATAATTACGTAATGATCATGAGATGGTGAAGTGATATTATCATTTCAACGTGCACTTGTGTTGCCATGACTTTTGGGCGATGCTCCTTACGGGAGAGATCTATGGATAATGCGTGTCCATGTAATGAGATTTCTTATTAAGTGTAGCCTTCTAAAGTAATTTATAAATGATATTGAAGAAAATTCGTAGACCTTTTTCTTTAATAAGTCCTTTAATTTTTTTATTAGTTAAAAGAATGATTATTCATCTCCTTAATGAGAGAAGTATTTAAAAGGTGTAAAAGGGCTATTTTGGAGAAAACCTTTGTGTTCTTAGTTCTTACTGAGCTCTTGCAATTCATAGAATTTAGAAAAGAGTAATTTGTATAGTCCTTATAATAATTCTTTTAGATTCTCTCATAATTGTTTTAACAAATAGGAAAAAGAGAACATGGGTGCATGAATTTAAATCCGTGCATAGCATGGGTATGCAAGTAGTTTCTTCATATAGGTTCCTCATTCATATGATAATTGTTTTTATCTTTACAGTATTGATGGGAATCTGATTAAGATGACAGAAGATCATAGAGTCACTAGTTATTCTGAAAGACTTCGTATTAAAGAGATAGGAGAAGCACTGAAGGATGGGGAAACGCGTCTCTGTGGTAATTAGTCACTGCATCTGAGTTGTGCATGATTGTGTATTTCTGGATAGGTGCTCATGACATTACTCCCTGCCTTTCTGCTTGACTTGCCAGGATTAAACCTTGCTAGAATGCTTGGGGACAAATTTCTTAAACAACAGGATGGACGATTCAGCTCAGAGCCTCACATAAGTCAAGTTGTACTTATTGACAAAGCAAACAGGGCCTTTGCGCTAATGGCAAGGTTTTGCTTCTAACTGAAAAGCTGCTTTAGTTTGTTATCTTTTAGTTTATTGGATCTCCCTCGAATTGCTTGACAAATACATCCCTGAATACAACAGTTTTGTCAGAGATTCATGCATTTTAATTCAGTTGATATATTATTAAATATCGTTTAGTACATAGCTTCATCATTGAGATCTTGGAAAACACCTCTTGGCTGTCCATTGGAAAATAGATCAACTTAGGCTCCGTTCGTTTGGCGGAAAATATTCTCCTTTTGAAAAATATCTTCCCGGAAGTCATTTTCCTGAAAAATGTTTTCCTGGAACACAATTTTCTGGTGTTCGGCTAAAATCTGAAAAAGTCTCGGAAAATATTTTCCGTTGTTCGGTATAGAAATGATTTTCCTTCTTGCAATACTTTTAATATTTTTAATATTTTCTTTTTTTTTTCTTTTTCTTTTGCTTCTTCTCCTGTAGGTCGCCGGCAACGGCTGCGGCCGGCGGCCGGCGACTGGCCGGAGGCGAGCTCGAGCATCGCCCCAGGCCGGTGAGGCTCGAGCTCGCCAGATTCCGGCGAGGCTCCGCCTTGCTTGATCCGGCGAGGCCGGCGAACCCGACCTCGCCAGATCCGGCAACCTGGGCGAGGCTCGAGCCTCACCCGAGGTCGCCGGAGCCTCGCCGATGTCTGGCAACCTCGGGCGAGGCTCGAGGTCGCCGGATCTAGCGAGGCCCAAGTCGCCGCTGGCGATCAAGCAGCCCGAGGAGCCTCGCCCACGAACAAGAAGAAGAAGAACCCACAAACAGCAACACCAGAAAACAAAACAATCAAAGCATCAGCAGATCCGGCGACCTCGAGCCTCGCCCGAGGTCGCCGGATCTGGTGAGGTTGGAGCTCGCCGACCTCGGGCGAGCTCGGCCTCGCCGGATCTGCCGACCTGGGCGAGGCTTGAGACTCGCCCGACGTCGCCAGACGGCGGCGAGGCCGAGGTCGCCTGAGGCCGGCGAGCTCGGGCCTCGCCACTGGCCGGTCGCCGGCCACAGCGCTGAGGAAAGAGAAGAACGAAAAAAATGAAAAAAAAAAATAGTGAAGAAGAAGAAGAAGAAGCAGCAGCTACGGAAAATGATTTCCGCTTTTGAAGAAGCGGAAGTCATTTTCCATAGACTTAGGCTATTTTGTGAGGGGGGAAGGAAAATGTTTTCCCACGGAAAACGTTTTCGGCCCCCCGAACACCGGAAAAAATTTTCCGGGAGAATATTTTTCCGGAAACGAACACAGCCTTAGTGATCTTTCCTTTTATTTCTCAATTGTTCCTATAACTTCTCCGATGAGCCCGGATTTTTCAATATCTGCAGTGATGGCTTATGGGACGTTATTAGTATGAAGAAGTCAGTTCAGCTAGTCCTCCAGGTTTCCCCTTTCATCTATGCTCTACTCTTTTGCTTGCCTTGTGCATGGGCAATATGCTTTGCAGATCTATTCTAAATGTCGTGGAATATTGCATTTCATAGACCATGGAGAGATACTCTGCAGAGAGGGAGAATGTGGCAGACAAGATAGCCAATTCTTTGCTGACCGAAGCTAGAAATCTCCGAACAAAGGACAACACATCAATAATACTTTTGGACTTCAGCAACTCATCTGGAGCTTCTTCCTGCAGAGTTGCTTCTTGATTTGATGATGGTGCAGTTTCAGTTATACTTTGGCTTTCTACAAGTTCCAAGATTCTGCCCTTGAGTGGCATGGACAAAGAGAGTAACGACCGAGCACTTGTTCTTCCGGGGACTAGTGAGGATCATGAACTGTTTGCTGCCGAAGATAATTGCATCCATGGACTTTGAGTGCATCTAGCTTTGCCAGTTAGTGAATCATCGGATTTCGTAGAAAGCGAGAAAAAGAAGCAAAAGCCATTCCAATGTAGAGCAAGTCGTTTTCGACCTCCATGCCAAAGATTTTTAGGTCGATAATGCGGAGAAACTGCACCTTCTGCATTGCGGTTCGGTACATGATTTATCAGGTTAGCTCAGGCACATATACACAGACCCACACACTAACATGGAACAAACTGACCATTAGATTTTCGGAAACTCTGCACCATGAGTTGAGTTTTGGGTTATGTAAGAGAATATATATCCGCCCCTTTTTGTATATAATTCCAATAGTTCCGGTTTCGTATTCCGCATGGTTTTGTATCGGCTTGGTCAGCCATGCCGGTACATCTCATTTCACCGAGATCTCTATACTCCAATGAAATCCGATGGAGGCTAAAGTTACCGACTTTTGTGAGGTGGGAAAAGGGGTGGAAAAATTAGATAGCATCTAAGCACCGAAACTTCTGCGAGATGTACTGGGCGGTGGATAGTATGACAAAAGGGCAATGCGGAAACATGCCTTGGATGCGCAAGTCAAATTACAATCTACGTATATTATGTTCGTGTTCTGAAAAGAACGTGCACTTCATACCTACGTAGGAATGGCTAGTTTCGACGTGGCATTGTCGACAACGAGAACAAGCGAGTGCAACGTCGTTACATCAATGCTGTTCATGTCGAAGTTATGTCGATTCGCGAGATGACGTGATCACCAAATGTCTTGCATTCGATTTTAAACTTCAACGTTCAAATGGATTATTCGTTAGGATTAAAAGCATCTTTATTTGATTTAAAACCCCATCAAACATGGGAAAGATAGAGCATTTCTATGAACTCTTATTTCTTTGTAATATATTAGTAGATTGACTATGTATAAAATGGTAAAAAATTGTCAACAACTAATTTTTAATTTTGTACATGTGTTTCTTTAGAGGAAAATGACACATATGGTCTCTCAACTTTAACCAAATGTATAATGTGGTTCAAGAACTTGTAAATTGTTCAATATTGTCCTTGGACTTTCGATACATGTTCAATTTAGTCTTTGAATCATATGAAAATATATAATACTGTCTCTGAACTTGGATTAATGAAATGAAAATATTGAATAATTCCATATAGTTTAGAGATTATATTGAACATGCGCAAAAAATCCAAGGACCAAATTGAACAAACTGAAAAGTTTGGAGACCACACTGTACATTGAATTGAAGTTCATGAACCACGTTGAAAAAATTAAAAATTCAGGGATCACGTTGCATATTGGGTAATAGTTCATAAATCATTTATTTCATTATCCCAAAAAAAAAAAAAAAAAAACAACCTGTGTTTGGACAGTGGGCACCGTGGAGTTCCGGAGCTCCGTCATATCATAAGTACTCCTGCCTGCTAAAACCCCACGCAGAGATCGACGACGCCTATACCCTTGACCAGTTGACCTCTATCGAGAGGACGGGAATGGCGAAGAAGAAGAGGAGACTCGAAGCCGAAGCCGGAGCGGTGACGGCGAGCGACGTCGAGCCGCCTCGGAACGATCTCCTCAACGGCGGCGGTCCTCGCGGCGAGCCGACAGAAACGAGCGGCAAGCAGAAGAGGAGAGGGGGCGGCGGCGGCGGCGGCGAGCCCAGGGAGATCCCCACCGTCAGCGTCGCCGTGGCCGGTTCCATCATCGACAACGCTCAGTCTTACGAGCTCGCCACCCGCGTACACACTCTCTCTCTATCTCTCTCTCTCTGCTCTGAGTTTTCGCGTGGATTGCTGCTTGAACTCCAGAATAGCTCGAACTGGTGCTTCGCCTCGCTTGCATTGTCGCTTCTGTCGCGGTTGAGTTGTTATGATGATTTTCTTATCGTCCTCTGTTTTGTTCTCTTTCCGTTTTCCCACCTTCACAGTTGGCTGGTCAGATTGCTCGTGCGGCGACGATTTTCAGGATCGACGAGGTCTCTCTCTCTCTCTCTCTCTCTCTCTCTCTCTCTAGAGATTGTGTATGATGTCCTCTGTTATGTTAGTAAGGCCTGAGGGTGGGTTGGGTATGTTGTATTGCTTGCAAAGGTGCTACTTTTAGCTGCTATCATGAGCATTTGTTGCCACTTGCTTCAGTCGTCGGTTCTTTTTTGCTTCTGCTTGTTCATCAGGTGGTGGTGTTTGATAACAAGAATACCCCGGGAGAGGACCCAACAGAGAGAACAGTGGATTGTACCGATGAGGACGAGAGCGGGGCGGCTTTTCTTATTAGGATACTGCGGTACTTGGAGACACCGCAGTATTTGAGGAAAACTTTGTTTCCTAAGCATAACAGCTTGCGTTTTGTGGTGAGAGTTGTACTTAAATTAGCTATTTATCTTACCGGTCTCTGCATATATTGTGGTTGTTATTTGATGGTAAGTTGGGGTGGTCTAAGCAATCATGGTTGTTGCCTCAAATTTCAACAGGGCTTGTTGCCTCCACTTGATGCTCCACACCATTTGCGCAGGCATGAATGGGCTCCATATCGAGAAGGTGCCCCTTTTACCAATGCTTTTACCATCATGAAACATACTCTTATGTTGTTGATATGAATTTGTGCATGAAATTTATGGCTTTTCTAAAGGTTTTCCTTCCAGTTAAATGAAGCTGCAGCAGTTTTCGCGAGTGGAGTCTAGAAGTGTCACAAGAGAAAAGTTTTTCATTATCATCTTCACTCAATTCTGCACGGCGATGAAGTTTGAAAAAATGTAGTTAGAAACTGAGATATCAATTATAATACGTGGAATCGGTATATGTCATGAGAGGGAAAAAGGGGTACCTCCATATGTTAGCTTCTGAAACATAGGAGAGAATATTGTGCAACTGGATGTACTTGTTATTTTGGCGCAATTGTACTGAAGATGTTTGCATAAATGTTGTTTACTCTCTAGGCAACACAGACGGATGCAGGGTAGAAAATTCTTGCTCAGAGACAGCTACCACTTGGTGTTTGCTTGAGAAGTTTCTTGTAGCTATTCTAAGGAGTATCTTCAATAATGCTTTCTCATCCACTTATACACCATCTAATTGATTCACATATTATTGTGACTTTCTAGGTGTCACACTAAAGGCAAGAGCTCCAAATTCTTCTCAAACGCTTGTTGACGTGGGCCTAAATAAGGTAGAGTTTTGTGGGAGTTCACTTAAATAAGATTTTAACCCATGAATACCTGCCCATTTTAGCATCATATTTATGTGTTTATCTACCCTTTTCCCCTAGGACGCCTGTCTATCTACTTGGTGATAAGAATACAATGTTCTCAATCATTAATTTACTTAACAATACCAACTATAGAGGCCATGTGAATCATGTATTCCAGTGGATTAATGTTGCAACCTATACAGGCTGACCATGAGCCAAAGGACCTGAGAATTCATGTAGCCAGGTCTGGTGAGCTGGATAAAGGCTTACTAGATTTAATTATATCAGCATTAGGGCCTCCCTACTGCCTTATTACTGACCCTACTTGTTCAGATGGTCGTTCACAGCCAAAGTTACTGAAAAGAATGTTCTTTATATTCATTAATTATTAAAGCTGGAGTCATCTCTCTCTTTCTCTCTGAGTCTGACTCAAGGTCCAACACCAACCCTAAGCGAGCTCATATGACAGAAAGAAAATTGGTTAGCTCGCACAAGTTTCCTTTCTGTGTGATTATATGCACTTGCATACAGTCATCTATTTTGTTTCTTGTGACCATGGAAATCTTTTCCTTTACAATTTTGATATGGAGATTAATTGGACCAAATAACTCGAAATGAATGCTCTGAGATTTTTGCAGTGATTAAAATTAAACTACACCGATGCAGGATGTTGTCATCAATCAAGCACTCAAACCCGGTATTAGAGTCACTGTAGCTATGGGGGCGGAACGTGATTTGGATGCAGGTAAATAATTGAAGTTGCCTGCACAAGTTGCATCACTTATGGTGTTGGTGTTTTTGCAAATGTGACAATGAAAATAAATGACTGGGTTATGTCAGAATGATAACGATAACTTTCATCGTTGCTACCTAACTCCATCTTGTTAATGCAGCCCAGTGATAGGCTGTATATTTTGTGTTTGATCACTTTGCAATAAACATAGTTCTTTTCTATTATCAATCATGTGGGTGGTGATAATCTACTACAAGATTTGTCTTTGTATGTCATCATGTAGATAAAAAATTAAACTTATTTTTGTAAAGATATGATGCATGTGCATAGTGAGCTAGTCCTTTCATTTTGAAGTTTAATGTATAAAAAATCTTTTTATTTGGTGTTATGTATAGCTGAGACATCTTTGATGGGTTGTTAAAGCAAACAGATTTGTATGAAACATGATGGTCGTAGATGCTTCACAAAACCTTATGAAGAGTTTCTTGTTGATTAAAAACTCATCTGATACTATAATTATCTAGACTTGCCACGCCAGGTTGTCTCATCCTCCAAGCCAAGGGAAGATGTGGGGACCTATTGGGGATATAAAGTGCGATATGCTTCTAATCTTAGTTCTGTGATCAAAGAATGCCCCTACAAGGTACATTCTTCTTCATGGCAGGCTAATATTTACTGATATCTCTATTTATCCTTACCTTGTTACTTGCAGTGCATCTGTTTTTTCAGCTTCTTCCTTTCTTATCCCATTACAGGGTGGGTATGATTATGCAATAGGAACCTCAGAGCATGGTGAGATTGTTAGGTCATCGGAGCTTATCATACCTACATCCAGGTTAGTATTCATCATCATTGACTTGGAAATAGAATGGCTTATGTTGGATTGTTATTCTGACTTACTGCTGACATCTGCTTTTTAATGTCCAGAATTATCCCTGTTTCTACCCTAGTCTTAGAGTCATTACTGTCTATTCTGTATTGTTTAGTGTATAAGATGTGGTAGTACTTGCTATTCCCAATCTCTTGACTGTCTGATGGTGTGGAACCATACATTTGAATGCGGCACAGTAGAAGATAAAAGTTTTTCAAAATTGATTAGTTCAATGGTTGAGCCCTCAGCCCGTTGCTTATACTTGACAATGTTGTGTGAGTCCATTTGTGATAGCTTTAATGACAAGATTGTGAGGACTGAACAGAGAATAAATGTTATTATGGATCATGATGCCAAGAGAAGTGCTCTCTGGTTTTTCGGGAATCTTGACATTGGATCATTATCTTTATTGATATGTTTCTCTTTCTGCTCTATTTGCAATACCATTAAAATGGGGGCTAGGTATGTTCCTTTGCCATACAATTAGTTTTCAGCGTTTTCGTTTTCATTTGAGTTTGGTTGCTTTTCCCGTTTTGGTGAAAGCATGTGTTGCAAGAACAAGGGCTTAGCATGGTGGTTACCCTTACCAAGGTCTAAGAGATCTTGTTTCAATTCCAGTCTTCCCCTTACCCTCTCTTACCTATCGAAGGAAAAAAAAGGTGGAAGTTTTCACCATTTTCATTCGCTGACTAGCTGTTGCATCTTATGCAGGCATTTATTGATTGCCTTCGGTGGACTTGCTGGATTAGAAGAAAGTGTGGAGGAGGACAATAGCCTCAAGGTATCGTTATGTGCCCCCTACTCTGAGAGGAGCATTGAGTTAGGCTTTTTAAAAGGCATAACTTCATGATGTTCTCAGCTTATATTTTCCTAGGGAACAGAGTAGCTTGGCGGTGTTTTGTGGAGAGTGAATGTTGAGGATGAGAACGCAATATTAGTCCTCGTCCCACTGAATTCTTCTACCCATTTCAATAAATTTAAATGCTTAAGTGCTTTCCTCAAGTTCTGTGATATTAATTTTTGCTTTTTAACATCTAGAGTGTGCTGGAACTTCAAATAAAGCATGTTCTGGCTATCAAATCTTGCTGCTAGCCTGAATGCAGGAGTAATATGCATTTTATCACTGATGGAACTAATAGTTGCTAGCTAAAGCCGGAGACAGGACGTTAATATTGAGCGAGCACTTAGATTGTTGACTGGTCTGTTTTCACCTTATTTTTCCTTTTTTTCTCAGGGAAAAAGTGTGCAGCATCTTTTTGATAGATATCTAAACACTTGTCCTCATCAAGGAAGCCGAACAATACGCACTGAGGTACTTTCATTCACTATATTAATCTGCTTATCTTTGACAGCACAAATCGTTGATCAAGGTGCATCTCGTGAACAGGAAGCAATCCTAATATCTCTTCAATACTTTCAAGAACCGATAAGCAGAGCGCTAGAAGTTGGACAATCAAATTAGTTGGAAGCCTGTTGGTGACGATTAGAGAATTTTGGCAAATCCAGTACTGGTTGATTCACTTTTGTAATCATATTCTCTTGTTATTTTGCATTCTTGGGATATAGGACCCTTGAAACTTCTATCTATTCAGTTAGCCAGTGATGCTTCTGGGTAGGCCCTTTTAAGTGTCTGACTATGGCTTTATCTTCCGAGGTTGGTCATTTTAACCATGCTTTGTGAACTCCTTAACATGTAAGCTGGATATCTTTACCTGCTTAAGAAAATGCAACTAGTTGCAGTTCAGATGAACATGTTAATACAATTAGCAATAATGCAAACAGGGTTTAACAGTCTTGTCTATTGGCTGAATATCACATCTAGACTATCCTTGTTGAAGAGAAAAATGTTGAGCTTTATCAGATTTTATATTAGTCATCCTCGTCCATTCAATCTACCATAACTAGGAAACTGACGGAAGCCATGCTGCTGATTATTGCACTTGCTAGCATTTTCTGCTCACTCAGTAATGGCAGGTTGCACTGGCAAAGTTACGCGCGCCCACCCAAACAGTTTGCATCAAGTGTTCCGATTCACTCGAGTCAGGCGTTCACGGACATTGATTACACACGCATCCCAGGCTTGCAAATAAATATCTACATATTCTTCTCCTTCATAAGGTAGTCGAGTTGGTCTCGCTTCCCCCTCGTCCCCAGTATGGAGAAGAAAAGTAACATAATCAAGGATTAGAGAATAAAACCAGGCAGGAGAGAAGAAAGCGCATTAAAACAATTCGCTAGCTAGTAGCTGGTAACTAGAACATAAATTCTGGTAAGCTCTTTCTACGATAGATCATCCTACGGAATAAGTAGGTCAAATACATGAAAAACAGCTCCTACAAGGCCGTCCTCAATAAAAAAAAAAGGCTCATCTGTAGGAGCTACGATTATCCTGCTCATGGTTCATGAGCCTCGACGATGTACTGAGCTAAAAATCCAGTAAATGTTCCTGGCTATTGAAGCCATTCCTGAACTACCGCGGAGAGCCAATTCAAATTACCTTAATCTAGAAAGAACATATCCTACTCTTCACCTACTTCAAGTTTCTTCAACTTCGACTCCAGCTCACCTTCATCAGCTTCACCTTCCCCTTCGCCTTCCTCGTCCTCTTCATCTTCATCACCTCCTTCAGGGTCGTTCTCATCGAGGGAAGCCAGCATTTCAGGGGATTTCTTGAATACACTCTTCACCTCATCAATCCCGTCTTCCGAAATGAAATTTCCATCGATGTTGAGTAACTTGAACCCAGGCTTCTGCACCACAACCTGGGCCAAGAATCGAGCTCCAGCCCTTCTGATCGAGTTGGTGCTCAAATCAACTTCTGTCAACTGCTCATGGCCTTTTTGCAATGCTTTGCCAATCTGAATAGCACCTTCATCCTTGAGCTCATTCTCAGCCAAGTTCAATTTGGTGAGAAGGCTCTTTGCAGCTATACAAGCAGATAAAGCTGGAGCTGCTTCCGCTGTTATGTCGTTGCCAGCCATCTCTAGAACTGTAAGAGACAGGGCTGTCTCTTTAAGAATATTGGCTATTGCGATTGCCCCCTCATCTTCCAAATTCAGGTAACTCAGGTAAACCTCAGTCAAATTAGCGTGCTTGGAAAGAGCTTTACTCAAAGAAACTCCAGCTTCTACACCAAACATATTGTCCCTCAAATCAAGTTTCGTAAGGTGAATGCAATTTTCAAGTGCTTCCGATAAGGCAACACCTCCATCAGAGCCAATCCTTGTGGAGGAGCAGCGGAAGTCCTCCAACAACGAAGAGCATTTCACAACCTCAGCGATAGCAATTGCTCCTTCATCTCCTGTCATGTTATTGTGAAAATGAAGAACTCTAAGTTTTTCTGTGGAAGGAATCAACTCACAAACTGCACAAGCAGCTTCTTCAGAAATTCCATCATTCATTAAATAGAGCTCCTCCAATTGACTCTGTGTTTTCAGGAGTGCGCCAAATGCTCTGACGCCTTTTTCACCCAAAGCGTTATCGGAAAGATTTAGAGAATTCAAAACACTACCCTCCAAGGCAGCTGAAAAGATGCTCATGACTTCAAGAGCTTCTGTTTCTGGCCTTCCTGCAATGAAATCAGATAAATCTACGTCCTTCAATTGGTGCTTCAGGGAAATCAGAATGGGTTCAGCAACACGAGCAGCTCCTAATCCAAAGCTTCTATTGCTAAAGCATATTTTGGTGAAAGAATTTTCAGGATCCTTCAATGGTCTTAGAAGTTCTTCTGCCTCCTCTGCTTCAATGAAGGCCCGTTGGCCCTTGGAAATATCAAAGAATGTCCCTCTAGAGGCCTTAGCACTGTCTGAAGTTGGCAGCTTTTCATCCTTGCCTTTTGGGCCTTTTTTGAGGACTTCCAGTATAAGTTTACTGCATTCCTTAGCATAAAGCTGCACTGCAGACCCTCCATCACCATCAGGCTCTTTTTCATAATGTTGATTAGCAGTCATAAAAGCTTCATCTTCAATTCTTTTTGCATTTTCCTCAGCTTCTTCCGGGCTCAAACTTCCATACTTCCTAGTGAAAATGGATTCACTAGTGAGATTCCTCATCATCCGTTCCACAAGTGTTTCACGAGTATTTTTGCTCGGGGGCCATAGTTTCACTGAAAATGGTCGGCGCTGAGAAGTCAATGGTGGGGCATCCATCACAACAGAACCTGCATATAAGAAATTCACATGAGTCTTAAGTGATCCAGCTGATGTTGACTGCAAACAGATGCCCTGTAGACAAGCTGATGTAAAATCCGATTGCAAACAACTTCAGGAAGATTTAAAAAATTAAACCAGTATGAAAACACGGAAACAACTGCAACATTAACGTTGACTGGTTAGAAGAATTTTTTCTTCAAAATTCTCAGTATTACAATGTGGGCCTTTAAGTAGGCATTGCCAATTTAGACTGACTTCGCGGCCAACTCCCTTTTCTCTCACATCGAGTCAGGAGAGAAGCTAATAACAAGCTATTAGAAACGCATGTAAACATGACAAGAGAATTTATGGCCTTAAACCATGATCATACATGTTTCTATGGGGCAAAACCTACTTGACCTCTTGATATATCCAGCAGGAGGATACCCATAAGAGACTAACAAGAAATAAACATGACCAAGCACAAGTCCACAGCCTTCAACAATTTATGCATTTTAGTATCTCACAAAAACATTTCTTATTGGATAAAAACCATATGAGATGACACAGAAACAGATTAAAGAGTCATACAATCAAAGGAAGGTTTTCATGGTAAATAGCTTAATATTGAAGAGAGGGACAAGGGGAAAAAAACAACAAATCAAACTAGCAAATACTACGAGTTGGTCGCATTTCATCAAAATCAAATATTTCAAGTACTCATATTTTTATGTAAGCAAAGAAAGGCTACCGACACTTGTAATCTCAGAGGTCGATATCTCCAAATTTCCTTTTATACCAAAAAATAAAAAAGGGAAAGTCAATAGATCTTGAAGAGAAATAGATTGGCAAAATAAAGTAACCATGACAGAAATGTATTATGCCTATTTAAATTGAAAGAAAGAACGCAGAAATGTATGACACAGTTCTTGTATAACATATTTTCCTGCAATAATTCCTTCCACAGACCAGGAGTGGAATAACAAGCAACAAAATGGAGTTAGACCACTAGCAAGTTGGACCTACTTTACAAGATGCCCCAGCAAATTGGAATTTTGTATGGGAGAATGGAATAAAGCTTATCCTATCGAGATGCAATTTCCAGAATAAAGGTAAAATATCAACTTGCAAATTCAGTATAAGTCCTCATGATACAACCATTGCTATCGAAGTACTAACTTTACAAAAAGTCTAAGAAAGATGCACAATCAAGTACAGAGAGGTAACCATATTGGGTATAACATTTAAAGGGAATACATAATTATTCAGACCTCATTTATTTTTCAAACAAATGTAATAAAGGTGATTGGGGCTCATTACTTGGCACCAAATGCCTAACAAGTAGGCAAAAAAGGCACTTGAGTACTTGCACTTACTTCCACCGTGCCCTTCAGCCACAGATCCTCACCGAAAAACCACTCAAGCACCTAACGAGAAGAAATGGTCCTTTGACAATGTTGGATGCAGCTAGGAGTACATTATAAAAGTGCAGCAAATGCAAAATCTCCGCCCCTTATGTCTTGAAACACATGATCGACATATTCAACTTACATTCCTTTGTGCAACATTCTTTCCTACCTTCAAACACAAGAACCTTACAAAAGCTTAACCAGAACTATTTTACCTCCCATTTAACTCATCGAGTGCAAAACTATTGGAAAAGGTTTCGACTGTCGCATTTTACTGTGATTTATGTAATCTTATAAAACTATCGCATAGAGTACTAGTTTATCTCTCTTTTTGGCCAAAGGACTAACGTTTTTATCGCTAAAATAAACTCAACTCGGCAAGCCTTCATAGTCTGAGGTTGGCTCCACAAAATCTTTCCACACAGATTGGCTCTTCTTATTCCAAGTTACTTCGCAAATGTAGATCCATCATATACCTTCACTATTTCCATTTCCTAATAATTAATATCCCTTAACCAAGACTAAGCCAATCCATCCATCAAATCTCTTCCTTTGTGACAAATGCTGGCTCTTCTGACTGAAGTTAGACTGTTTTATTAACATGGCACCTCTTAGTTGCCGAAATTTACGTCCACAATACACCACGCTACACAAGCCATCCACCCAAAAAGCAGCACCTTTTCCCAAACCGCAACTTTTTGTTCACTCCCTCGCGCACGAAGCGAAAGCATCATGGAAGCCTGTACAGTCCACGATGCACGAACTACCAAAACACATCCATCACAAACTCTCCTGAAAACGAGACGACACAGCAGCAGTCTCTAGCTACGCGTATGGTCAGCATTTCTCACAACAATGGGCAGCAAATGAACAAACCCAAGAGCAGCAACACAGAGAAATGTCGAATTCAAACACCCATTACGTAATGTCAAATCGTTCGGCACAGATTAAGGTTTCCGCGCCCTAAAAAAGGCACAAAACATTCGACCATACCCAGTTGCAGATCTGGACACTAGGGCAAGTTACAGCAAAGTACCCAAAGAAGGACAAAAGAGGAAAACAAAACCCGAAACCTAATCCACCGCCAGGACCCAATGACCTTCGATGCGACATACCCAAAAGCGCAGAACGAAGAGGGAAAGCTCAGGGACGCGCAGCAGGAAACGAAACCCAGAAAGGCCGAAACTTTAAGGAGCGAGGAACGAAAAGGTACCTGAAAAACCGTCGCTTTTTCCTTCAAATGTTCAGGGAAACAGAGCAACGGACGTCGAACGAGAAGGCGAGTGGGTGAGAGACTGCGAGGGGCAAAGGCGATTGGAAGGCAAAAAGGAGAAATGGCTTTGAACAGAGACAGAGAGAGAGAGAGAGAGAGAGAGGGCTTTAGAGAGAGATTGATTTTGAAATTGTGCACCTGTTTATATAGAGAGAGAGAGAGAGAGAGAGTGGTCTGCTTGCATTCTACAAGGCAGAACCTTATTCAAAGATAAAGAGCGATTTTCTTACAACTGATATGGACATCTGATAAGTTGCAACTCCTCGGGTTTACTTGTCGATTAAGAAAATTAACTTTTCGTTTTTCTGAATAGCTAATTTCCTATATCGAATTGATATGGACGGTGTTATAGATACTTTACCAAGTCCATGTACTATGAACGACCGACTGATCGAATCGGATGTAAATTAATCAAATATGGGTTTGATCTAAATTGACACGTTCAATTCGTATTGACTCATTTCATTGCAAACGGCTTAAGCAACGTCGTATTTCTAGTTTCCAAACTGGCCCAAAAAAGAATTTGTGTACCTAATAAAAATCCTTATTGTTTTCTATTCATTTTCTTTACCCACCAAATCCTAGCAAGAAAAAAAAGAATTTAATTAAGAACCTACATTAGTTGGAACTTTGATTGAAAAGGACAAGACAAATGTGATCCATCAAATAATTTTGTGTTTGATGTTTTGTTTAGGATGCATGTATATTAAAGGTAGTGATTTGGCTGAAACTTTTGCACTGTAATGGAGAAATAACTATGATAAAGATAATTTTCGGGAAGTGTTCAGCGTCAATTTGATTATTCCATGATATCTTCTTCCGATTTGTTCAACTAATATTCATGGCGTTCACTTCACGTGGAGAAGGGCAACCAACGCAACTATCTTATGGGAGTTATCATAAGGGTTCAATACGCACCAGAGAATGCTTTCTTGAGCCATAAATGTTCAGTCCATCCGTAGAGTATGTCATTATAGCTCCACTGGTGTGTCACGAGATGGGAAGTCTCTCCTCATGAGGTGGCAAATGCCCAAGCACAAGTTGATTAGAGATTTGCTTTCCAAAGTGACTCAAACTTGTAACCTCGCACCACTGGGCTACCACGCTCAGTTCATGCGTGTCTTCCTCCTCTCTGAATAACGGTAAGGGCAAGAGAAAACCAGAACAGGCAAAAACAAGAAAGAAGATAGATGTCGGTATTTTTACCCACATAATAGGTTTCCCAAGTACAAAGAGATAATTAAGTAATTGCAGGATTCCCACAATTGGGATTCGCCATCTTAGAACGGGTGATATGCCAATGAATATCTTGTCAAAGTAGAAAATAAAGGCGAAAGTTTAGAATCTGCAGTGACATTCATAGCTAATAAGCCATAAACTTGGGTTCTACACACAAAATTTTAAAGGGAAAATACCACAAAAAATCTCAAACTATGTCACTTATGACAAATTTACCCTGAACTTTTTTTTGTGATACGAAAAATCCCAAACTATGCCATTTGTGATAAATTTACTCAGAACTTTTTTTTGTGATATGAAAAATCTCAAACTATGCCACTTGTGATAAATTTATCCTAAACTTTTTTGTGTAACACGAAAAACCCCAAATTATGCCACTTATGACATATTTACCCCACAATACTTTTGCCCATGGGAATTTTCGTCTTTTTCCTTTTTCTGTTTTTTTTCTTTTCTTCTCTTTTCCCTCCGCCGCCCATGGCGGAGGAAAGTCGACGAGGGCGGCCCTTGCCGGCGCTGGGTTGGGCGAGGGCGACCCTCGCCCGACGCAGGTGAGGGCTGCCCTTGCCAGATCTGGCAAGAGCGACCCTTGCCGGCGTCGGGTGAGGCTGCCCTTGCCTGCCCAGGCGAGGGCGACTCTCGTCAAACGCCGGCGAGGGTCGCCCTCACCTGGACGAGCGAGGGCAGCCTCGCCCAATGCCGGCAAGGGTTGCCCTAGCCCAACCCAGCGCCGGTGAGGGTCGCCCTCGCCTGGGCGGGCAAGGGCAACCTCGCCCGACGCCGGCAAGGATCGCCCTAGCCCAACCCAGCGCCGGCGAGGGCCGCCCTTGCCGGCTTCCCTCCGCCATGGGCGGCATGTCAAATATCTAAATTCGATCCTATCAACGATGCAAGAAAGTAATGGAAATTCACACAACATAAGAATTTACGTGGTTCAGCAGGGGAGATGTTCCGCCTACCTACGTCCACGGGGAGATGAGATCCATTTCACTAATAACGTAAAAAAGTGTACAGCCACTCTTTCTCACACCCTACTCTCTATTTTTAGAGACCTGTTTCGCCCTAAATATATATAACGAAACCCTACATGGTACAAATTACAAAGTTGCCCACATAGCCTAAAATATTTAACTTTCCCATATAAATCCTTCTATGACTGAACATAAAACGCCTATGGCGGCCCGGGGGCGCTGCCCCTGCGATCCTCGCAGGGGCGGCCCCCCCGGACCCCCGCCCGCTCACCGGGGAGCGGGACCCTCGTGCTGTCCAGTCGTCAGGGGGCCTTTCGGAACCGCCTCATAATCTCTTGGATAACAGAATACAAGACATCAACCTCAACACGACAGAGGGAAAAGAGAAGAAATGACAAAAAACAGAAAAAAAAAAAAAATTCCCATGGGCAAAAGTATTGTGGGGTAAATGTGACACAAGTGACATAGTTTGGGGTTTTTCGTGTCACAAAAAAAGTTTATGGTCAATTTGTCACAAGTGGCATAGTTTGGGGTTTTTCGTGTCACAAAAAAAAATTAAGGGTCAATTTATCACAAGTGACATAATTTGGGGTTTTTTGTGGTATTTCCCAATTTTAAAAGATAGCAACTCGAAACTTCAGATTTCTGCGGTTACATTGTCTGAAGTTGCTATACTTCTATCATGAGTTCTGCAAAATGGGTAATGTAGAAAAAGGATCGTTCTCTACGCTTTGTAAGATGAAGATTCCCAGAAATTAAAATGAACAGAAAAATCAGGGTCGTTGGTCACGTGCATTCAATGGTCATTTCTCCTTCATCTTCTTGTCCAAGGCAGATGAGGAGTAATTGTAAAGAACAGAAAACCTAATTATGTTGTACATCATCACAACCTAAATAGATCGTACATGCTGAACCATTAAGAATTGTAAGATTTATTAGCGGAAGCATACCTAAATCCATAGCGGGATTGATCTGTAGAGTCGTGCGGACGGCCTTCCAGATCTACGCATTCTCCTAGAGAGTCCTTTATTGTTTCTCTGGGATCTCTCTTTCTCTGGTGATGGACGCCAGAGAAAGAATACGTTATGTATTCTGTGATATTGTGATCTGGGGACCATAACCGTTTTTTATAGATAACTTCTCTATTATCCCTTCTTTTTGGTATTTCTATTTTAGCCCATCATAAAAATAGAAATTACCCTAGAGTCTCTACACATTAAAGGCCCACACCCTATCAGATACATTAAAACCCAATTACCTTATTAGATCACTTTTAATTGGCTTAGTTCACATCACAGTCTGCAACACATAATTATTTTACATATAAGCCCAATGTTGGATTAAGGATCCAACAATCTCCCACTTGGGCTATGTGTAATACCTTATAATTATGCTTTTCCAAAATAACTGTATGAGCTCAACTTTCTGTCATGACTGTTGTGTATCTATAACCAATCCGGTCCAATAATCATATCAACATAGGATCAAAGCGGCCTTTGTTACAACTATCGTAACTCGACCCTTCAATGGTCACATATGTTGATACAAATAAATGGCACAGATTATGATATGGATGTGTAGCATGGTAATTTCATGTAATGTGATCTTAACATGCCTATTTCCAACTGGTCCTCCTTAAACCTTAATGAGATCAAACTATAACAAGAACAGAGTGTGAATTGATCAAAACTTTATTTCTGCAGAAAATAACTTTCCAATATCCATAAACTGAAATAAGAAAAATTATCTATATCAAAAGCATCTAAATGTACAAACTCCCACTAAAACTGAGCATCCTCAATCGACATGACACCCATGCGAGTAGTGTGCTCATGAAATACCTTGGGTGGTAATCCCTTAGTAAGTGGATCCGCAACCAAGGAGTTTGTACCGATGTGCTCTATAGATAGCTGTCCACTTTGAACTCTTTCTTTAACAACTAAGAACTTGATATCTGTATGCTTTGACTTGGACGAGCTCCTATTGTTGTTGGAATATAGAACTGCTGATTTATTGTCACATAGTAACTTGAGTGGTCTTTCAATACCATCCACTATGCGTAGCCCCGTGACAAAATTCCGCAGCCATATTCCATGATTGGATGCCTCATAACATGCTATAAATTCTGCTGCCATGGTTGAAGAGGCTATAAGTGACTGTTTAGCACTCTTCCATGAGATGGCACCCCTAGCTAGCAGGTAGATATAGTCCGATGTAGATTTCATACTATCTTGGCATCCAGCAAAATCAGAGTCAGTATACCCAACGATCTCAAGCTGATCTGACCTCCGATATGTGAGCATGTAGCCTTTTGTTTTTTGTAAGTACCGCAAGACTCGTTTAGCTGCTTTCCAATGGTCTACTCCTGGATTGCTCAAATATCTGCCCAATATTCCGGTAATGTACACAATATCTAGTCGCGTACAAACCTGAGCATACATTAGACTCCCTACTGCTGATGCATAAGGAATCTTCTACATTTCTCTTTTCTCAAAGTCAATCTTAGGGCACTGGCTGACACTAAACTTGCCTCCCTTAGATATAGGGGTGTCACCTGGTTTGCAATCTTGCATGCCATACCTTTTAAGAACCTTTTCGATATAGCTCTTTTGTGATAATCCAAGAATACCCCGAGAACGATCCTGGTGTATTTGTATGCCTAATACAAAAGAGGCGTCACCAAGATCCTTCATCTCAAAATTCTTAAATAGAAATCTCTTGGTTTCGTGCAATATGCCTATATCGTTGCTGGCAAGCAAGATGTCATCGACATACAATACCAAAAAAATATACTTG